ATAAAGGTGTCAAAATTCCTTTGAGCTACCTTGAGATCACATTCAATGAATTGTACGTTCAGTTTTTGAAAGTAAGGGGGATCCTGGCAGGAGTTTTCTCTTACAGTGTATCGCTGCAGCCCTATATAGAATGAGTGGATTTTCTGATCTGGGTAGCACAGACAGAATGAGTTTGTTTTCAAGACATAGCTTGTAATTCATCTAAATTGGTACAAAAAATTTGGGACAAATCAATCAAACCTCCTCATCAAGTCTGACATGACGATGTCACATATGCTGCAATCTCAAGTTTTGTTCTGCATAAAAGACGGTATCACTGAACTCCATTCATCCTGCTGGCAAAATGGCTGTCCACTATTAAGATACCGCACCAAACTGATTTCTCTATCTTCAGACGACACAAACAATCTAGGTCACCGTTTATATCACAGCTCTGAAACATTGAAACATGAAGTCTACACGAGGAGCCATAAATGTTCACAACAGCAACACTAAATGATACCAACCTCACACCGAAGGCCTTATGAAGATTCAAAATTCATGCCGAGAGAGTAATAAAGCTTCTAATAACCATGAATCAAGGCGATTCATCACTCAGTGTACACAATGACATTCACTGAGCACGCAACTGATAGTGATAAACCACAGCACCTCGTACATCCAACTATCAGGGGACAGTCACATGTGTACATACCTGACATAGCTACCCTCCAGCCTGTCTCGTCACCCAACCCGACACTGACCAGTGTAGATATCAATCAATGTCACTCAGTTACTCCTTACACCAATGCCTCCCAGGAAATCCATATGGCCACGCATACGTCAATATCATATCGATTCCTTTCAGACGATCACAGCCACCATTCGAGACTGACTTACAATTTACCTGAGCAATCTTAAGACATTCCAGGGCGTGCCGCTAACGTGGTCCCATCTACAGGTGAATAGTGATAGGCTGTACCAACACACACCAAGCACACTCACTACCAGCTAACCAGCAAGGTAAACTTACCCGGGAAAACGTGACCCCAGGTGAACTGGTTTGATAGACGTCGTACATGACAATGTAGTTATCAACTGTTACACGAGTAGGCCTTCCTGTATCATTACAACCGGTCCCTAGTTAAGCTAGAAAGCAAACATTTCACAGGCTCTAGTCTATGGTCCTGATTTAGACTTGCACTGCAGGTTGAGGGAGAGTGCTCGGTGGACCACATCCCATGAGGTCAGCATATGGGATAGGCCAAGCCTTATCATTGAAAGCACATCACATGAGGGACTGTGGTTTAGTTACCCAGGCATGAAGCATGTCGGCCAGGCTCTCCTACTCTTACTACCTGTGTTTACTGTTATATCACTCTAGATAGTCCATTACATGCAGACTGACACTTGGGGTATAAATCCCTAGACTTTATCTGTGTACTACCACAGACAACATGGTACGGAAAGTGTTGTTACAACGAGGTAATATATGACAATGTCTGGAGAGAACTTTTACATAATACATGTGACCTTGCTCTTGTCATTGTTGAATAATAAAACAATGCCACTGGTACCTGTGTAGCTACAGTAATTAACTATGAAAATGATAGAATGAAGAAATCATTTGGCATTTGTTTATGTCAATACCACACATTTATTTCAGTACCTTAATTTTTTCAAAGAAACTTTAATTTTGGAAATATTTTGGAAAAAAAGTTGTTTTTTGTTACTTTCGTTTTAATTAAGTGAAGGTAGACCAAGAGTAACAAATTCTAAATACCAGTCACCAAGTTAATTACAACGTGTACCAACAATCTGAATAAAAAACTACAAAGTTTTAACCGATCTTTAAGCAGTTTTAATATTGTACAAAGGAGACACAATTTATGGATAACAACATGTTTTTTAAAGTAAACAAAAAAGTTGTTATCCATAAATTGTGTCTCCTTTGTCATCCATTAACGTCTAAGTTATGCTAATCAAACAATTAATATTGAACACGTTCAAATATGGACTATTATTTCTTCATTTATTACATGAAACCAAATTTGGTTATATGCATATAGGTGTTTGGTCTACATTGCTTCTCACAGTCTACAGTAACACTCTGTTATGAAAATACCAGGGCATAATGGTTTCCTCAAAACATTTCGCCATTCAAGTCAGTAGGTATGTCAGTCACAAACCAACCAAATTATACAATCTTTTACTCAATACCTCATCCAATTAATTTATGTTCTGTTTGAATAATTACTATGGTATTATCATCAGATCATATTGTATGAAATGTGTGACAAACAACTTGACATATCAGTGGTAGAAACTAACATTTTTAGTCTGCTAGTCCTTATAATGATTACATATAGCAAATCCCTTAAAAAGGGCAAATTTCTACTAGTCCTAATGATACCTTAATTATTGGGCAGTTTGGATAGGACTACAGGACTAAAGTACTCATGGAAATGAAAAAAAAACTGTTTTGCTGGATTTAATAATCGACACAAAGCATTACGTAGATGGAAATACGTAATAACAAAACAACTGGAAAAGTACTATTCTGGATTTGCTAGTTTTATCTCAGTGCTCAATACAAAATGTACTTTACAGGAGGTAATTTGTAAGCACTTTCAACATTCAAAAATAAAACTAAGTCCAAATTGACATGGCAGAAACAGGCTATAGGCATTATGCAAATTAGCCTGGAAAAAAGTTATCAAAACAACAATAAAAATAACAGCTATGTTTATGTACATAATAATATGTAAGTTGTTGTTTGAGAAGGGAATATGTTACTTTTACGTTCTGATATTTTGACGATGATTCACTATCCCACAATGCCACTCACAAATCACTAACCACTGACAAATCACATGTACGTGGGTTTCAAGCACCTGTTTTCACATGTCGTCAAGGTGTCATAGGTCATGGACATTCACCTTGATCTACAAACACCTGGTTATGCTCAGTTTCACAATAGTCTGTTTTGTTCATATTTTTACACACTTTTAAGTGTAAAAAGACATAAAATCCTTTGATACGCTGTATTTGTGCCAAGGCCCAATTAGTACTAATTGAGCTGTTTGCATATTTATATATTTTGTATATTAACTGCATTTATTTAAAATCTGAGATCGAAAAAACAGTTTTTTTCCATTTCCGTGAGTACTTTAGTGTCAATTTCTATCGCTGCATATGGATGATAACTCCTGCACACTGCAACCTTTCTGTGTTGAGTGTCACATCTTTATCACTGGTTCTAAATTACATGTGGTCCTAAACAACTCCTTCGATATTACAACATCATGCTATTTTAACCCACTTGTGTCCTCCACCATTGATGCACCTGTGCAGCGACAGCAACACACAACATAGCTTTAATATCACTGATAATTAGTAGTGATTAGGTGAGAGTTGGTTTCCCTGTGGGAAGCAGTGAATCAATTCCTGCCCACCCATAACTTCTACAGATCTTTTCAGGTGAGGACAAGGAGGAGATATCTACTGGAAAACTTGTCGAGAGTTGGTTTCCCTGTGGCAATTCCTGCCCACCCTTAACTTCTACAGATGTTTTTTAAGCGAGGACGAGGAGGAGATATCTACTGGACAACTTGGTGACACCCTGTTGAGATTACCAAAGATCAAAGCTACTTTCGCACATGTTATTTTTTATGAGCAGAAAGCGGTGTGATGAAAACTTAACTCAGTGTCAGAGGTGTTTTTTAAACAACAGATGCATGTGGATTCAAACAGAGTACTAGAATCTGTACCTTATTAAGAAAGTGTTATCCCAAATATTAGATTTGTTCCAATTTGACCACTTTCTAAAAGGCATTGTGTATTCATAACATGAAACTGATGCATGTGTTAAGTCTTTGACTCGACTGATGCATGTCATCGTATCCCAATTACGTGGAACAATGCTCATGATGTCAATCCCTGGATTGTCTGGTCCAGACTTTATTATTTACAGACCGCCTTCATATAGCTGGAATATTGCTGAGTGTGGCGTTAAACACAAACAAACAAAAAACTGAAGGAGAAAGCACATGTACTCTAAAACGTTTCTCATAATACAAGGGAAGATTCAGCATTTTCAAATGGGAGGGGGACCCAAACCAAAAAAAACCAAAATCCCCTAATCCCCCACTCTGGATCCACCCATGTAATAAAGAAGCTGACATCAACAAATTCTTTCTCAGATGCATGTGTTGTTGTTGACAAAGAAGGTTGGAGCAGCGTGTTTATCAAACAGGAGTTGTATAAGCATGATAAGGCTGGAGTTTGTCTGGACTGCACAGTGTTACGTAAGCAGCTTGATGGACAGATGGAGCAGGTTTGTGAATTTTAGGATGTGAGGATTATCTATGTAAACACTAACTGGCTGGATGACAATGTGTGGATGTGACGAACAGAAATATTCCTCCTTATGTTTTTTGTTTATTATTTGTCATAACAAAAGCATAGAAAAAATAAATGCACCATGAAACTATTGCAATTGTCTTTCACTAAGTTTCAAATCCCGATTTTGATTGGACTCGTTAGTCCAGCCAAAATGTAACTCCATAATACTAGCCTAGTTCGGCAAGGGTGGAAACTGGACTTTAGATGTCAGTTAACTCTCTTGCCTCGGGAAGATGTACACATTAATATTCAATGGGAGGAAAAAGTAGATGGGTACATGTCTTATAAGACATCACAAGGGCATACTTTTTCAGTTCATAACTCAAACCCAAATAGGCTTATAAAAGATTCAAACTGAAATTCCAAACTTGCCTTGAATTGTGTATTGTTAGCATTGTGAGCTTGAGAATTTTTTACAACGATGGGGTAGTGTAGTGGTTAAAGCGTTTGCTTGTTATTCCAAAAACTCGGGTTTGATTCCTGAAATGGGTATGTGTGAAGCCCATTTCTAGTGTCCCTCTGCTTATTGCTGTAATATTGATGAAATCTAGAGGAAATTACAAGAGGAAAGTAGTATGAGGAATCCTTTATACAAAGAATCCATCGGAATGCCCTACCTTGAATCCACCAGATCCTTGGCGTCTCCGTTATGAGAGAGGCCGTTGACAGGTCCGGGAGCTAGGCTGGAACTGCTGGTACCTAAGTCCAGGAGGATCCCAGAGTCGGTGGCTGACGGAACTTCAGTTTTGTTCTCCTGCAAGTCATTGACACTAGCACTCTCAGTCGAGCCTTTCACAGCTACATCCAGAGGAAAGTCCTCAATGTGTTCTGTCGAGTCTCTGCGCCCATCGCTTTTCTGGGACGTGTCGACATCTTTGTCCTCATCACTAGCATCATCATATTTCAGCTGCTCCTTCACAGAGCTAGTGTCAGTATCACACGTAGAATTGATCACAGTATCAGACCCTTGCTTCCCATTAACCACCAGAGAACTCTCCATCTTCCTCTCTTCGGTTTTCTCCTCATTGTTCCTAGCACCAAGCTTGTTCTTGCCGAGGAGGTTTTGCAGCAATGGTGACTTGAACTTGGGTCTGTCGGAGGAACTACTGGACGATTTGTTCTCCACCAGCTGCTGGAGCAGGGGGGAACGGAACTTGGGTGTGTCACCTCCATCTTGACGCTCGGCTTTCTCACTGGGTGTGGAGGGGAGGGGGGATGACCCACGGGGGGAACTGGGACCTGAGTCAGGTCTGCTGTCTTCCGATGAAATGGTGGTGACGATGTTGGTCACACTACCGGTTGTTGTGACAGTTGTCGTCATGGTTTCCTCAGTGCCGTCTTCGGCTGAACTCTCAGTCGATGACTCGCCGCTCTTGCTGGGGGAGCTAGTGGCTGACTTGGCAGGAGATTGAGTCTGTAGGTAGAGATGAGTGCATGATCATTATGTCCTTGTGCTAATTCATGAAATCATATACAATTACAAAACATGGACCTAGTGCTATCAGATTCCCCCGTTTCCAAGGTTTCTGATAACTGACATCTTTAATTCGTGGTTAGTGGAAAAGTATTTCAGTCTTAACACTGGAGTGAGTGAGTGAGTTGTAATGCCACTTTTAACAGTATTACAGTTATATCGCGGCGTGTCAGCTTAATGTGGGAGGAAAGCCCAAAGTGATGTAGGTCTCAGATGTTTACCACTTCGGTGAAACCCACGAGCACGGGTATGGTGCTGACAAACCTAGAAACATAATCGGGGATTTGAACCCACAATCATAGGTTTCTGGCATGTCCAAGGGACGCAATTCTACACAGCGCACCTGTGTTCCCCTTGACACTGGATGTCAACCTAATGTTGGATGAAAGTGACATAGATCAGAGACACATACAATGTGGATGAAACACATGAGCACCAGTATGTTGCTGACAGACCAAGGAACATAAATCAAAGTTGTTCTGGGATCTGATCACACTATGTCCGTTGATCCTCCCATGGCAAAGGGAAGCAACTCTACGGCCCTAGATTGGAGGCACACAGCTCCACTTGCTACACGGCAACTTACAAAACATCGGTCACAAGGAAATACACCTAGAACAATCTATACCATGCATACTGAGAAAACTTTGTTTCAGACCTAAGTGAAAGGGATTGTCATCACCAGCAGCTTACCTTAGGTGATTCACTTCCGTCAGTCTTGACTCTCTTCATAATCATCTCAAGACGCTGAAACAATGTGAGACAATCAGATTTAATGCTATGATTAACAAACATCTAAATATTTCCCAGTGGGTTAGTAGGTGTCATTCTAGCCAGTACTGTGAGGTGGGGTTTAACATCACGTTCAAGATTATTGCACTTACATAGTGATGTGCATGAACGTGTGTGTATCTATGTGGCTGCTTGAACTAGTCCGGACTAATGCCAGTTTTTAGTGCTAACCCACTGAGATACCATGCTGCAGTTTAACATGAATACCCCACTAAAAGAGCCGACCAGTCCTTGTTTTAGCCTCTTAATGCAGAGCACTAGACAGGGTGAAAACAAGTACCATCTTCTAATGTCTCTTGGTATGGCACCGCTTGTGATTGAACCCAGGATGCTCTTCTCTCCAGAGGTGAGGTGAAATTGGGTTTAAGATTCGCGTCCAAGATTATTGCACTTATATAGCGACATGCATGCACGTGTGTGTGGCTGCTTGTACTAGTCCGGACTGATGCCGATTTATAGTGCTAGCGCACTGAGATACCATGCCGCAGTTTAACATGAATACCCCACTCAGACACAGTATACTGACTCCGAGCCGACCAGTCCTTGTTTTAGCCCCTTAATGCCGAGCGCCAGACAGGGTAACAACAAGTACCATCTTTTAACGTCTTTTGGTAAGACACGGCCTGGAATCAAACCCCAGACCTTCCGCTCTCCGGGCGGACGCTCTACCACTCTTCTCTCCAGAAAGACGCTCTATTCACTAGACTACGGAGGCCAGTTCTGTGACTCTGGACAGACAAACCAGTGACTGAGAGCATGAGCAACGATCTATGCCATCAGGGATATTGACACACAAAACCCAATTCCCCATACAGTCAGCTCCTCCATGAGGTACTGAGGCCCATTCTGACCCATATCTGATTTGCCATACCTTCTTCCTCTCCTGACGTTCTTCCTCCTCCTTCTTCATCCGCTCCTGTCTCTCCTTCTCCTGCCTCTCTGCCTCCTCCTTGGCTCGCAGCTCTGCCTCCTCTTTCTGTAAAGGAGAAAGTCCATGACAATCAGATGCATCTTAAAGGAAGACTTCCATCCTAACATACAGAACACAAAGAACCTGTCTTCACATGTGTGCAGAACATACTCATGACACATGCTTCAGATGAAACAAGTCATGTTTCAGGGTGGCACTGTATACTGACAAAACTATGTGAGAATGGGTGAGTAAGTGAGACGAACAGTCCTTGTTTTAGTCCCTTAGCACCAGACAGGGTAACAACAAGTACCATCTTTTAATGTCTTTTGGTTTAACATGGCCGGGGATCAAACCACGGACCTTCCGCTCTCTGGGTGGGCGCTTTACCACTAGACCACAGAGGCGGTATGCTTCCAAAAGTGTAGACACAAGACCATGACCCTGGAAGGGTGACAACCAAAACTGTGTGGGGACAATAGAGGTTATCACGCGAGTGTGTTTGGGGATGGTAAATATCCTGCATTAGGAATAAACATTGTATTTAGCGAGCCTTGGCGAGCTAAATACATAGTGTTTATTCCTAATACAGGATATTTACCATCCCCAAACACACAAGCGTGATAACCTCTTTATCATATAATGTCATTCTTTAATTCTGTGCTTGAAAATCGCTTTCCCTCTCTCACAAACATTACCGAAACATTGTGAGTTTTCCTAGAATGCGCGCATTAATATTTATTACGTCACAGGGTAAGTGTTGTGTCAGTTGGACAGTGACAGTAGCCAATATAGTTCCAACTGAAATCTGTTTCTTATACAGTGGCGAAGCAACATATACGCAAAACAACAATTGTTTTTAATTGCCTTTCGCGGCAATCCATCGGTCTGTCCGCTAGAGTAACTGCCCTTTGTCAAAGGGAAGCTACTCTTACCCTAGTCTATGAGACGTCGCAGCCACGGTCAGACGGTGTTGACAGTCGGTCTGTCCTGTCATAACGTTAAGAAGTGCAGTCAGATGTACACACAGCGACAAAACGAAACAAGGTAACAATTCAAACATATTTCGGCCAAATCCAACTATTTTAATTTGTGGAGAAGGTTTCAAGCCGAAGAGGTCTACAAGCACAGATATGGCTACTGATCCCGCTTGGCTAGGCCTCGTGCCCTCGCAAAATTGTTTCGAAATTTATATATCCAAATTGCCAAAACTTATAAAATGCCTTAGCTACGTCACAGTTAGACACTGATTTTCAGTATATTAGACTGTTCTTTTGATAATGATAGCAATTATCCCTGTAGTTTATCCAGATTCCCGATGGTTAATTCTGACTCGATCGCGGCGACGCCATGTTTGTTTATAAACAGTGAAAGTAGTCCCTACTTGACCTTTGATATTTGCATCTCTATCCGCATATGACCCCAACGGATATCGTTTTTATCCGCTGGCTTTATCCTGCCGAGAAACCTACCCATTATATGATAAAGGTCTTTATCCCTTTTAAGTACTAACAATGAGATATGATCCAACTTCTTTATTAACCTTCAGTGATATTTAATTTTTTTTTATCTCACTGGATACATATACAATTTCTCTGCGCCACTTAAAACTCCTGGCAAAATTAGTAAATCAAGTAATGACAAATACAATGAACATGGGACTAGCTGCATTTCACTCCTGGTTTGTTTACCCTTTACTATTACGTGAAGAATGATATGTGAAGGTACAGTCATCCCTTGTTCTAACACCCTTCACGATACCACAGAATCAGTTAAACCACAGAGAAATCCATGGCTCCCATGGATTTCATGATTTTCCCTACAAAAATATATTGTCACGTCATCGGAAATACAATGTTTTCTTATGTATGAATAGTTCCTGTGCTTGTTTTTTAGAAAGTGAACAATTTGTACAACGAGAGGTCAAAAGCATGAAGGTTTTATTTGCTGATATCGTTTCCAGATATCAAACAATAGTTATTGTGGATAATAATTTAAAGAATACGACTACCTCTATTACATCAAAGCCTGTCATCACACAATATAATCTTCAGATTTTCAACAGAAGTCCTCTTCAGTCCAATTATCCATAATGAGTTGTGCAGGTAACAGTGCCTCGCTACCCACACCTCTTGCGCATGCATAAGGTGGGCAAACTTCACTTCTTTCCTCTGTGTGCTAGTGTATATTTGTAAGAATTATGTTTGTTTCAATCAAGACAGGTGTCAGGTGTGTTTCTATCTAGACAAGTAGTCAGGTATGTTTTTCCTATAAATCAAGACTGACATTCCTGAAATCCTGGAAATGGCCTAACATCCAAATTTGAAAATCAGCCATATTTTAGAAAGAAGCAAGTATTCTCAAAGTTGTATTTACAGCGATCCTATCCTGTTCCAGCCTCTCAGCCTCCTCCCTCTTGCGAGAGTCTTCAGCCGCGATGGCCTTCCTGAGCCTCTCCTCCTCAGCCTTGCGAGCCTCCTCAGCTAGACGCAGGGACTCTTCCTCCTGGCGACGCTGCTCTTCTTCTTCTGCTATTAGACGTTCTTCCTCTACCCGCCTGCACAACAACATGAAGGTACTGTAGCTTGCCTTACACAGAAGCAGATCTATCTCGGCACCAACCATGACGTAGATGTTAAATACTTCTATAATTCTTAGTCTGGGTGTTGTGAATATTTTTGCACCTAAGGTGTAAAATCACATACCCACTGCAGACAGGGCATGTCAGTCATGCATATCACCTAAGGCTAAAAAGAATAATAATAGTCTTGGTTCTCAGGCACCGCCCACATCATCATAAAGTCTGCCCCACGTTTCGTTTTACTTTTCATTTTCCCAAAAAATCCTAATACTTAAAACAATGAGATCCAATATAGCATGCAGTTACTTCCCTTTACATGCCCACTGCTTTACTGCACATCTCGTGTTATGGCGGCAATAGAAGTTTGTATGCTTGTTTATGTAGTGAGACCCTGTCCAAGGTTGAATGTACACAAATGTTTTTTTGGTTACATACCAGTTTGAACAAGCCAAAAAAAAACAAAAAAACACCAACCACCGCCCGACCGCACTATAATTTCAAAGTCATTGCCAGAGAACCAATTCTTTTATATTTAACAGAGGCAATCCATAGTGATGAAAACATAGAACAGAATGGATTTATCATGCTTATCAATATTATTATATGCAGTTTTCTGATATGGTGATTTAATCTATGCCCCCTTCAATCTTTAACTTTATGGTTATGAAAAAGACCCTTTTATTTCTTAATTACAAACATTATATGGTAAATAATGACAAAATATTTGTAATGAACTAATAAATCCTCAACTGAAACCCCAAAGTTTAAAAAATCATACCAATATTATCAAACACTAGATGACATGATACCAGTTCTATCTATTTTTTTATTCATTTCCAAACTTTTCTTTAGATTAACTGATTGGAATTCTAGAGGTGGGTGAGTAAATAAAAAACTACACGACTTTATGGATAACTTCTTGTTTATTGCATTAAGCTGCATTTCAGTGTGCATAACCTCTCATTACCTGGTTGCAGTTACTCCGATTGGATAACAGGGTAAGAATCTACATCCAAACATCGCTAAATGCAATAAACCAGAAGTTGTTATCCATAAATGTTTTCCTTATTTTCTTAAAAACTACATTTCAGGTCTTCTGTCACGAAATTTTGAAGAAAACATCACACAAGAAAATTATATCTTTTCTATGGGTCAAAGTACAATGATGGTATGCAAGACACCAACAAATCCAAAAAGAGGCCACTCTTCCAGGGGCCCATTCCACAAAGCGATCTTAGCGCTACGACAATCGTAAGCCTATGTTAAAGTATGGGAGTTAAGATCGTCTTAGAACAAAGATCACTTTGTGAAACTGGCCCAAGAACAGTTCAACTTTCATTCACATTTTAGAGACCAGCACAGAGGTATGTCCCTTACCTCTCCTCCTCAAGCCTCTGTCTCTCAATCTCTGCCTCCTTCTCAGCCTTCTCCCGAGCCTGACGACGTTTCTCAGCAAGCTTGGCCTTGTACTCCTCCACAGAGATGTCCTGGGTGGACTTGGACATGCTGGACATGTCCACAGACTTGGACATGATGTCCGGCATGGGCTTGGACGAGATGTCCATCACTGACCGGGACATGGTCTCGTGGGCAGATCGAGACATGGCTGCCTTGTCGTCCTCTATCACAACATGAGGAGCTCCAGCAGGTGCTTCCTTAGACTTGTCCTTCAGGATAGGCTTGGAAGGCAGCTGAAACAGTTAATAGCAGGTTAAAGCATTTGATGACTCAGAGCTTAGGATGGTGAACAGGCTGTTGAAACTTCTGAATTTTGATGAATCATTTCATATTTTCATTCTCAAAAAAAAACTCTTGAAGTGTTTTGGGCTGAAAAACAATTTTTGGCAAATATACCCAGTAAGCACATTCAGGGAATTTCTTGTACACACATGTTGTCATGGAAACAGAATTATTATGCAGGATTCTCTTTTCAAACTCTTTACTTTGCAGTTACATTTTGAAAATACAAAATGAGAATTGAAAAGAAAACTCACTTCTACCGCTTGATAAAAACATAATTCTGAAGATAACGTGTGCAAACATTAAAATTTGAACTTGAAATTAACAAAGGGTTAGTAAAAGCTATTAATGGTATGAGCATACAAACACGTATACTGACAGAACGTGGTGGTATTATATGGAATGGTTTTCTGGTGAGTAACAAACTCTCAATGGTCTACAATCTAGCTTAGATATAACCTACCTTACTTATCAACAGTAGCGGGACTTTAACTATAATAAATCAGTATGAGGATGACTTCTGACAGTTACAGTGATTGAGTTCTGAATCGTGAATCTCAGTATTACTGCTGTGCAGCGGGAAAAACCTGTATCACGCTCATGCAGTTATCTCGTGGAGGTCATTCCAAACTCTTCCTGACAAAACCAGGTCACATGTCAATCAGCGAATATTTAGGTATCATAATGCAAGAATGAACTGTTCTAGATGTCGAAGTTCTGATGCCAAAGGGAACTCATACTGGGATAGTGTCCTGGGTGCTTGATCATTATTTTTACCACCAACACCTACTGCAGAGTTCATTCTACGCTCATTTTTAAAGGAATCGTTTCGCGATTCATTATACCAGTGGGGGTTTACTTCGCCCTGACACCGGAACTGAACGTTTCATGACAATATTTCAGATATAGTCTTTATTCATTATGTATTGTAGGCCACAGGCCCATTATACATTACAGAGTATACAGTACATTTCAGATCTGATTGTTCATGGTTGTTATGGAGGGACCGTTATTAGCGGTAGGCAATAATTATGCAAATTATTTTATTTGGTCAGAACTTTCTAACAATTTTACGATTTTGTTTGAAAAATGTTTTTACAAAATGTTTAGTTCATATAAGTTCAAATATACATTCACCATTACAGTAAATGTTTGTTGATTGTTGTGACACTGTATAAATTAATTCCATGTATAATTACATATATATACATATATACACCAACATGTGATATATAAGCTATCAAATTCTGATATCAGTTCCATTATACATCTAAAAGATACATGTTTTGCTACAAGGGCTACTGTACCCATATACACCTATACATACACATCTAAACTACAGATACAACATGAACAGTGCAACCACAGATTTTGAACCAACGTCTAGAATACTCAACCAAACTGAAAACATCTGGCTCAACCTTGTGCTTCAACACATGCACCAAACCTGTTAAACATCACACTATGCTTGTCCAAGGCCACTGAATCATGTTCTGACAAGGGACTGCAAGCTTCATATTACTTTTCTAAATCAATATTTTATCTATGGGATTATACTATACTTTCAACGCTGAGTAAAATGGGAATTGGTTACCAAAGTTTAAAAAGTTTAACCCTAATTGACATTTGAACGGTTTGTTGACTGCAGCTCAATCCCAAAAAATGAATAAACTTGTTTATGGTTTTAATAACTGTCCACACCCCCAACCCGCCCCATCAATTTCAGCGCTTGAGATGTTTATCAGGGCGAATATGATGTTTGTCAAGAGATACAATTATTTATGGATGTCTACATTAGAGTCTATCTACATGTGTTTGTATTGTTTGTTTGTTGTTTAACGCCATACTCAGCAATATTCCAGCTATATGACAGTAGTCTGTAACTAATCAAGTCTGGATCAGACAACAAAGTGATTGACATCATGAACATCGATCCACACAATTGGGATATGATGACATGCATCAACCAAGTCAGTGAGCCTTATCACCCAACCCTGTTAGTCGACTCATACGACAAGCATGGTTGCCTTTTACGGCAAGCATCAGTTGCTGAAGACCTATTCTACCCCAAATCTACACGAGTCTATCTACATGTGAGTGAGCTTGAGGCAAACTACTGAAGGCAAAAGTTACTAACTAAAGATCGGTGACTGCAATTAACAGAGTACTTCAATTCAGCGCATGTATTCATCAGTGCGAGGTTTCCGATTGCTACCTGTGTTACATCAAGCAGGGAGAATACCTGTCAGCATACGCTGGTTGTGATAGAGTGACAATGTCATAAAACAACTAATCCTGTTTTTCAAATGTGGGATTTGAACCCTGGTCTTTTTAAAGTATTACATATTTTTTACATTGTATTTTTCCAGCAACATTCCTGTGGCCTGTTAATGCTTGAGTCAGGCTCAGACCAACCAGTGATTGATATTATGAGCATCTTCCCAAGCTGTTGGGGTACCCCGACACGTAATCAACCATGTCACTGAAATTGACCTAAAACCAAGCTGGTCATCTTGTAGGCCAAGCATGGGTTACTGGTACCTATTCTAACCCAGAATCCTCAAAGAGCTAGCAATGTCAGAAATATCTAATATTCAATGCCTTCTTGTGTTGAAAAGCCCAAGATCTCCTACAAACAAACACAATGACCAGTTCCAATGACCACATGACATTTTGAGCGCTAACACTGACCATCTCCTGAAAAGTACTTAGAAGAGTGAAAGTGTTGGAGAAATAACTCAAAGTTGTCCTATAAGCAGCCTAGAATCTGAAGCGTGACATGACACAAGCAAGATAATCGGAAGGCCTGAAATAAAACAAGTTGATTAGAATAAAACTAAACTTCAAGCAAACTCAACTACAGAATGAAAAGGATAGTGACGAACATCCACCTGGGCCTTGTACCAAAAGCGATCTTAGTGCCAACATCATCGTAACTCCCATGACTTACGACAGTCACAGCACCAAGGCTGCTTTGTGGGACAGAGCCATGGTCTAGATCTGTCACCAAGAGGCCACAGATAAGAGGACCATCTATTTAACAGAGGCATCATCCTGTTCATTCATGTAATAAAACAGAGAAAGGAAATCATAAGATACAAGTTTTGGCTCGTTATATTCATACATATTTATATACTACTCCAAAGAATTCATAAGAACACCCCATTCTTTCATATTACCGTAGAAAATCTGTCAATCTATTAATCTGGCATGACAGATCATAACTATAGCAATTTGAAATAATCTGTTGTTCCTTAACCTTTTTTGAGTAGTACATATATGTCAAATAGAAGACCTGGTCAACAGTAAACATGAAAATCAGTTTTGTCTTGATGATCTAATTCCAATTTCTTCTTTATTCCAACAATTCCAACTCTTTATATCCAATGTGCTCAATGGTTAATCAGTCTTTGAAATGAAGCATGAGAGTCGTGTTTAAAGTTAAAGATTTAGAGGTCGCTAAATTCAAATACTATGGGAGAAGATCTCAAATGTCCATGGACTCTCTTAATTTTGAACACTCGTTAAATCTTTATAAGATTCATGGTTGCTGGTTTTCGATATTTTGACATGTGAACACATTATTTGATTTTCGTTTAAGCAGTTGAGGTCAAGGAGCATCCTTGCATGTACAATGACTCCATTTCTCTGCAGGATTATGAGATACGGATACACAGACAATATGTTGCGAAGCGTGCAAGCGATGCATGCAAAACACAAACCTTTCTTGCACCAGTGGCAAGATTTGTGGTGGACAAAGATTTTCTAGGCGACAATCGTGTTCTAGGCGACTTCTGCAACATGACGTATGCAGGAGGTTCATACGACAAATCAGAAAACTAGCAATGGAGGCACTCAACTCAACCATCAGGGCATGATGCATCAACGTCTCTCAACTAGTTACGTTCCATGTTGACTCATGCATTTCAGCACATTCACAGAAGCAAGTAAGAAGCAAATTTGACTGACCAAACTTGAAAAACCTCGGCCATGCACCTTACCACCTGACTGGTGGACAACTGAAACATTTGAACCCACTGTGAGGCTGACCAAGTGGTCCATTCCAGGACATACGACCATGCTTGTCAAATGCACATGTTCCGTCAAGCGAGGTTCAAGTACTTCATGCAGGCCCTGCTAAAGAATTATCTTAAAAGCCAAATGTAAGCATCACCAAACACAGGGGTTTCAAAGCTGGGAAGACTGTTACAAAGTCAAAGCTTTTTTTTACTTCTCAAAGCATGAGTTTAGAGATAACGTAGCAATAAAGATAAGATTCAGTCTGCGATTTTAAACACTAGTCCGAAACCAGAGTCTGGTAAAATTCTGTTTGGTATAGTAACCTCTGCTAATAAAAGTACATATGAGTACAATAAATAGTATTCAAAATGATGCTTAGAACCAAGTTCCATGTTTTGGCACAGACTGGGATATAAGTTTGAATTCAGTTAATTTCTACAGAATGAGCTTCATAAACATGAAGAAATGAATATCCTATCAGTACTTATCTTGGAATGTCTCCCTGTAGTTCAATCTCTTTAACAAAATTCAGAATATACCTCCTTCAGATAGAGTCTGCAATTTTAACCACTTGTCTGAAATCCGAGTCTGGTAAAATTCTGTTCGGTCACGTGACCTCTATTTCAATCACTTTCACAGTTAACAAAATACAGATTATACATGTACCTCCTTCAGATAGAGTGTCATTTATCCTATTATGTTCAGGCTTTAATTCCACATTGAGCTGACATGCCGTGATATAACTGGAATACTGTTCACAGTGGCGTTAAACCTAACTCACTCGCTCACATACATACATTATGTTTCAGTCCAGCAATACAGCAAACATACACATGCCAACGCTATTTACTTACAACAATTAATTTACTTGCAAGAATGGGAAACAACTTTAGTTGAAAAATAGAAAAATGCACTATACTGGTGTCACTCTTCTACATCTCCAGCTACAAATGCACAAACATCAACATCGAGTGCATGAAATGAGCAAGCAGAACCATCACCAACCTTAGGAGCGGGAGTTCCTTCCGCCTTGGCCTCAGCTTCTGGCTTCTCTCGAATCTGTTTCGGCTGAGACAGCCTGTCAATTGACCGGCGATTAGCCTTGAGGGTTTGTCTCTTCTCTGCATCTGTCCCATTTTCTTTCTTCTCTTCCTCCTTCTTTCTCTCCATGATTTGATTGCCTAAAGACTTCCGAGGAGTTCTATTAGGTTTGTCTGCTGACAAGCAAGAGGTTCTTAGGTTACAGAACCAGAAACAACAACATTGGTGTTTATCATTTTAAGGGTGTGAGAAATAGTCTAGAAAAAACTTGTATCTAAAGAACTAGAAGGCAAGAGGCAGCTAAAACAGTGGGACAATTTTACACCAAACTGTTAATTTCAGTTATAATTAATTCACTTTCCTGATGGACTCTTGTCCCATTCTCATGTCCTACACCATCTAAATGCTACTGTCAAAGAACAACTGTTTTATCCCATAACCAACACTACATCTACAACATCATTACAGACATATAGTTACTATGGGTAGACAATCTAGGAGCATCAGCAACTTGAAGCAAAGGACAACATTTTTCAAAATGGATGATGACGGCCATTATCAAGGGGACACAACTCTTAAAGAACTAGCTGCTCTTGGACAGAACGTGTAAGTTGTAACTAGAATTCAAACTGGTTAGATAATGTGTAGCTGTTACAGTTAGGTAGAACCATATCCCTAGAAAAGTAAAAGAAGTTAATAAAAGAAACATCTTCTGTCAAAGCCTGGTGGAGCAGGTTTCCATTGTCTGTCTTATATCTGCGTTGGGTCCATCGCAACATCTTTCAGATGAATCAGTTATCAGCAGAACTTTGCTGTGTTATCAAATACTTTCAGCTGCAACTGCATGTGGTATTGTAAATGTGAGATTCTTTTATTCAAGCTTACAAAAGCCCCTACAGATATCCTTTAATTTAAAAGCATCCACTTATCTGGTCCATGCATTTCAATTCACTAACAGTTAAACTATAAATGAGCCCGAAGAGAGGATTTTCCTATCAGGCACAGAAAGTAAATTGGAAGGATGACTTTTCTTAAAGTGAGAAAGAGTTGATAAACATGATAAAATTACTTTCAATGTGGATACATGTACTAAGAATGAACCAAAGACAACTAATAGAAAATGGCATCAGAAATCTCTCGCTTTTCAAGCCTTGTATTGATCATTATATATGCTTGATTTAAATCCATCTTTTTCTGTTAGCTCCGACTTTTTTGTGAAGCCTGGAGTGCAAGAAGACCTATTACCTCTCGAGAGCCTGTCAGTGCTCTTGCTCCGTGGGGATGCCTGGTTTGGAATTTCCACATGCATGAAGCTGGGCATACTGCTAGCAATACTGGCTGGGCGTGGCTTACGAGGTTTCTGCTCCCTGAGCCGAACCGAGTTTAGACCCACTGTGCTCTTTGGCCGTTGAGGCGGAGGGATGCTGGGTGCTAGAATAGATCGGCGACCTTCTGGGATGGCGTTGAGAGCTGGGCGGGGCAAGGGCGGGGCAGGGGAGGGAGGGAGGGAGAGAGAAACAACAGGTGAATTTTGTGTCAGTATGACAAGTCAAGACGAACCCAGCACCATTGTCAGTTGTTGGATGATCATGTGGAAGTGATGAGATGAGAGATGAGAGCTGGACAAGCATGTGCAACTAACTGATGAGGCTACGTGAAATCGGTGATGCATGTCAAGGTGACGTCAACACTGTCAATCACTGAATTAACGACTAAGATTAATGACAACAATGAAAGGTGACAAGAATGCAGAACTGAGGTGTTTAAATCACCAAAGGTAGAGTATCTAATTTGCAGTTTGTCTCATCGCATCACCAATGACAGTTCTTCTACTTCTTTTGAAAAAACTGGGGTTTATATCTTTTTGTGTCACTTTAGAAGCTGTAGTACCAGAGTTGACAAATGGACCACTTGCTTGATAAACGCACCAGCATTTGAACCAAATGTCACACTGACAAAAGTCTATGTCAATTGTCTCCAAATTTTACTGACACATTATTTGACAACTATGATGACATTTGTCTTGTTTCAATATTTTCATGAAATATTATGATGAAGTAAAGATGATGAAGGAATAGAATGGTTTGAAACTCCTAAGGATGATTTCTATCACTTCAGTTTTGCAAGACAGATAAAAAATCACAAGAAAAAGGTAAGCAAATGTGATGAATTAGAAAAGTACATCTACAGATTCTAATTTCATTTCAATACATGACGACTAAATATAATAACATGTACAAACATTGAACAAAATGCACTGTCACTATCTTCATCAACCCATAGCAATCCTTGCATGATTCATGATATCCACTCTCATGCATGTCAGTGTCCATTCCTTTGCAAACCGTATTTGGGGAATTGTCACATGCGTATCATGTTTGTTGGGTTTAATGGTTAAACTCATTGATGCTTTGGGATCAGGAATGCTAATACAGATGCACCTGTTAACCATGGGATAGGATAGCTTTACACCATGCAGTGGCAGTAAAGGTAGGCCGGAGTTATCTTTCCTTGCTGGGAGCCCCATGGTAACTGCTTGGATGGAACTCCGGGGTCTTTACTAATATTTAAGATCTGCTACAAAACATGGATAACTACGACCCAAATGGACTTTTGAAATAACCAAAAATTCTTTTTCTCTTGTAAAAGGATCCAACTTGAAGGTGTTGATCCATCATCAAAATTGATGTGTAAAATGTACACATTTAGTTATTTGGGGCAATAAGTTTAAATTTGGGTTGGCAGACTTCAAGTGAATGCATCCAACAGTCAGCAATATTCCAGCTACATCTCAGTGTTTTTTGTTTGTTTTCTGTAAGCATGTAAGCACTCAAGCCAGGGCTAATCTGAGCAACGGCCGAGGTACAACGACACACACTCAGCTGTCAGACATTGTACCCACCCGATCCTCATAAATCAACTCTGAACTCCCAGTGGGGTTGATCTACGCTAAATTATGTTCAATTTATTTTCTACTGTTTGCTATTTAAAATCACACTCAGCAACATTTCAGCTATGTGACGGTGGTCTGTAAATTATCGACCCTGGACCAGACAATAAAGTGATTGACATCATGAGCATCAGTCCATACAGTCACCGAGTCTGACTACACAATCCAGCAATTCCAACCCATGATTCCTTTAGGGTCTAATTTTAGCTGTAAATTTGGAGCATAGAGGCATATTTCATAACTGCTTCTATTCTTCTGTCTTGTCCACATGTAATTTTAAGTAAATCCTGGTGAGAGAAAAATGTTAAAAACCCACAAACAACAACAAAGAAAATGAAAATAAGAGACAAAACAACGAAAAGCTTGCCAAGGTTTGATATTGAAAAAAAAGGAACTAAGGATATAATATATTCCTCTGAGAATCTCAGGGAGGAACAAAACAAAAGCATCTTACCCAACAAAGAGTCTGGTCTGTTGTTAAGCATACCCGAAGAAGCAAAGTCTGGGTTTCGTTTGTGATAAAGCACACTCATGGAGACCGACAAATGCTTGGAAGGGGGGTTCTCACCAGGGCAAGGTCCTACAGTAACAAGCAAGCAAAATGCACCACCATGCCTGCCATGTGTTCTAGGCACATGGCAATCTACATCTCTCACAGGCTGCATGTGTATGTTATAAAATGCAATGAGCACACCCCGTGCCGCAATAGACGAGAGGTGCGATACCAAGACTTGTTTCATTGTGTTAAACATTGAAATAAACAAGTGCCTGTGTACTTGTTTAAAGCAAGGAAAGATATCATATATAGGAATGCAAGAGCTCAATAAGGGCAAGAAATGAATACAACCACCCATATTAAGTGACACTCCCCATGAAAATAATGCACAGTTTATATATTTGTTTGCAAAAAGCTGGCTGTGTTAAATCTAGCTGAAATACAAAAGATGTTCAAAGGGGTGAGGAAAAGAATTACAGACCTTTCCAGGATCTTTTCTTGTAAAGAGCTATCAAACACAAGCGTAAGACTCTTCAAGGCTAGGTGGGCAAAAACATTACCCAGGGAAGACAACTGTTGTAAATTGTGTCAAGAATTACTGAAAATTAGGTGTCATTTTCAACTTGAATTCTGCCCACTCATAATCATAAATATGGTTGTAGAAGTATTTAATCCTACAAATTTGCTGCAAATGTAATTGGAATGATTTTTTAAAGAATCTTATAGTGAGTTAGTGAGTTGGGTTTAACGCCGCTTTTAACAGTATTCCAGTTATATCACGGCGTGTCAGCTTAATGTGGGAGGAAAGCCCGAAGTGATGCAGGTCTCAGACGTTTACCACTTTGGTGAAACCCACGAGCACGGGTATGGTGCTGACAAACCTAGAAACATAATCAGGGTGAACCGGGATTCGAACCCACAATCATAGGTTTCTGGCATGCCCCAGGGACGCAACTCTGCACAGCGAATCGCGGTGCTTTAGACGCCTGGGCCACCCGTGCCCACAAAGAAGCTTATAAGAGAGTGAGCTTCTGTATGTGAAGGGCACCTGCTTCTCTATCATCACAAGGAAACAAGTCTTAGTTTCTAATGTCTTAGATTGAAAACTGATCCAAAAAGAATGTGTCTCGTGTTGCATGAAAATGCCATGTTGGCTTGTTAGCAAGCATCATTAGGAATAGAAATAATAAATATTAGTGTAAAGGGTCTTTTGGCACATTCGTGTTTAAAAATTTAAACATTTATCTTCACATTTTTATAACATTCACATGCAGAAGATAGAGTTAAAGTAAACTGCATCACATTTAATCTCATTCGTTAAAATGTAATTCAAGCAAATTATTCATCCAGTTAGCATGTACGGGCAATGGTTAAGTCATCCCCTTCAGGGAATGATATGTTGGATGTCCGACCATGCTCAAGAAATTACAGGCAAAGTTTACTGTGGAAATGCATCTCTTACCACATTAAATATTAAATATGCATATAGGTTCAGAAAGTACATTCAAGCCAATTAAACAGTACCTGCATGCTTGGTGCAGTATATGGATAATTGCAGGAGAATGGCCATTTGCAAGTGCATGTGTAGCCCTTTAATAAGTAAGTAATCACTGCGCTTTGATTACTTCAACATTTGCCTGAAGACTCTGGTACAATGCCCTCAGGTCTTGGTAAGATACACAGATCTAAATTACCAAGGTAGTTTCAAGGACTGTAATGATTCACTGAAGTATTTATCCTACACTGCAGCACAATATGACTATCGGAACACTAAATACACTAGTAAATAGTATGGCAATGCCTCCAGAAGAGGATGAATCATCAGTATCATTCTGACAGTGTGCGTGAGTGAGTTGGGTTCAACACCACATTGAACAGTATTCTAGTCAGTTTACTGCGGGAGGAATTCCACAAGTGATGCAGGTCTCGGACGTTTACCACTTAAAGCACGGGCATGGGGCTGACAACCCTAGAAACAAAATCAGGGCAAACCGGGATTTGAACCCACAAACGTAAGTGCCTGGCACACCCAAGGGAGGTAACACTGCATAGCAAATTGCAGCACCTTAGCTGACCATGTCCCTGCAACTTCAATAAAGCCCCAAATGAATTTGTTTTTGGTCTTGTAGGTTTAGCCAACATTAATCCATACAACTTGATGAGGATGACGATGAACATGTTTCAGCACCAGTAGGCTGAACTGATTTTGTCCATGATAAACACTATTGTTTGTTTATTGTATGGTTATGCAAGCTTTAAACCAGTTTCATGATGCAGTCTGTGAGTGAGTGAGTGAGTGTGGTTTTACGCCGCTTTTAGCAATATTCCAGCAATAACACAGCGGGGGACACCAGAAATGGGCTTCACACATTGTACCCATGTCGAACCCGAGTCTTCGGCGTGACAAGCGAACGCTTGAACCACTAGGCTACCCGACCGCCCCTCAGTCTGTGAGTTTAGCCACGAGCTACATAGCCAAGTCTAGAAAATGTCTTTTGGTCTTGTAAGCTTTGCTAATAAAAGTCATACATTAACACTACGGTCTACTGAAAATGATTAAATGACAGGTCCAGGGTGGTAGACTCAACTGTATGGGAGACTGATGATGCAAATCACATTGTGCCACAGTGTATCATCAGATTCATTACAGTCCTAGTAATACGATATATGTGCAACAGCAAACTGTATGCTGAAGAAACAAAACAAACAACAACAAAACAACACCTACACAACTTGCTACACAAGAAGCTCAAGCATCTAAGCTAAGTAAGCAAAGGAGGACATGCAAGCAAAGAAAGGTCCATCATGCTAGATATATCCGTGATACATAGATACTAGATATATTTGTGATACATAGACAATCTCACCCGAGTGTTGTTTGATATCAAATATATCAACACAAGTTAATAAATGTTGTAAACTTTTATCAACGATTGTTGATATTTGATATCAAACGACACATGAGTCAAATTCTATTTCTCATCCAAAATTATTTTTTCCAATTTCTGAGTAAAGATGAGTGTCTTGAGTTTAAAAAGTCCAGCTAAACAACTTCAGTTGCCTCGGTTGGTTGGTTGGTTTGTTGTTTAACGCCTCACGCAGCAATATTCCAGCTATATGACGGCGGTCTGTAAATAATCACGCAATCGGGATCGATGACATGCATCAACCAAGTCAGCAAGCCTGACCACCCAATCCCGTTAGTCGCCTTTTACGACAAGCATAGTCACCTTTTATGGCAAGCATGGGTTGCTGAAGCCCTGTTCGACCCCGGAATCCTCACGGGTCTCAGTTGCCTCGGGACATGTGAGGTCATCTGACTGTGATGTCATAGAAGCTGATGATGTCACAATGGTCTGCAAAGCACTGTGCTGCAATGTTATCAATATTTCCAAGGAGGTATCATCCGATTTCACCAAAACGATATCTCCTGTGGAGGCCAGTTTTGGATGATACGCTGGGTTAGTGTGTTAGTCGTTTTAGTCATGTTAATTCTTTGAGTATCGTTTGATGCAAACATATAACCTAGTGAGTTGTGATTTTCATAATGAAACCAAGGTTACTTAAAACTGCATCCCTTAGATACACATTCTCATATAGAGATGCGCTATTTCCCTTATTGATAGTTTGTTTTTGGGCTGTGGCAATTGTTAATATCAGTAATGACAACATCAAAAGCATCCTGAGAATCATTCTGTGACAAGCCTGCTGATTTGGGTGACAAAGCTTCATGCCGGGGTTGAAGAACGAAGGGAAGTTCTCAACATGACAATGACGGGGTTGTCGTTTTGATACCTTGTGTTGGTCGGCACTTATCTGTGGATCTCATAATTTGGTCAGGTTTATATACACATATAACATGAGGGACTGCTTTATAAGTTTCCATGCTGTCACTCAGGGGATGAAGAAGTGGGAAGGGGAGGGGCAGGGCAGTACTTTTAAGGAGATCCTCTTTAAATGAAAATTTTAATTAAAAATTTAATCTTGGAGGATCCCCATAAAAGTTAACAATATTGTCAAATTTGAAACAATTTTACTTTAATGTCAAGGTTGTAATTACCCATTAAAGAACTATGATCCGAATTGATATTTACAACTATTGTTATTATTCTGAAAAGTTATTTTGAAAAAACATTTTAAAATCTCACTAAATTATGATGCAATTACAAAGAGCAGAAAAATATCCCATCACCAGTGCTACCAGCTTTACCTTGCTGCTATATTGACAAAAGAATAAACCCATTAACCTTGACGATATCCCAAAAGAAACTAATGGATTAGAGTGTGTTAAACACCTACCAGTAATATGGTTAATGTCAATACAACAGTGCCGTCGCACAGTGCTACAGGCAGACAGAGCACGACGCTGTGGTCGCGCATAGTCCGAGTCGGAACCATTAGGAGAGCGGCGTATAAGCGCACTATGAGAAGATGACCGCTTTGGTCGCTCAGAAGGCTGGCAAATCTCACGAGGTGTGCGGCTACCAAAGCCGAAAACGTGACCACTCCCACCTTTGCGTCCCCCGAGTTTCCACTGCTCATACCGGGCCACTCGCTCCTGCGCCCTGTAGATGATTTCCTCCCGACGTTGCTGTGGAAGAAGCAATTCATATTACCAATTAATCAATGTATTTGTGAAAACAACAACAGCAGCACTATCAACCTGTTTGTCTTTCAATCCTTGTTTCAAGATGCAACGTGAGTGAGTGAGTGAGTGAGTGAGTGAGTGAGTGAGTATGTATGATTTTATGCCGCTTTTAGCAATATTCCAGCAATATCACGGAGGGGGACACATTATACCCATGTGGGGAATTGAACCCGGGTCTTCAGCAAGACCACTGGGCTACCCCACCGCCCCAAGATGCAACATGAACTAGTACAGACAATCCATTCACGTAATCGAGAGACTGCAAAAGAGAATATTAACCTGACAAGTTGAGTTCACTCATAGTTTCGAACTCTTAGAGCTTGTGGCGATTAGTATGTCTGATTAAGAGTTAAATCAAGTGTCTAGCAGGGGGAAAGAATACCAAAAATGGGCTCACACAGTGTACCCATGTGGGGATCAAGAAGAGTGCAGAAAATGACTTCAATAGTGTTTCATATGGGGCATACCAAAGCATGGTACGTTAACAGTGTCAGATAACTTAAAAGGAACCCAACTAAAAGGATGGCTATTTTCACTGATCTCTGCATTCATCACTTCAAGCTACTGAACCAAGGTCATTCATCACTTCTTTATTACCACATCACTTCTATCTACGAAGAGTTCTTGATTATTTAGGCATGGTAGAATACAGGCTAGCAAACTAACTTTTAAACTTAGAGTGAGTGAGTGAGTGTGTTTTACGCCACTTTTAGAAATATCACAGCGGGGGACACCAGAAATGGGCTTCACACATTGTACCCATGTTGGGAATCGAACCCGGGTCTTCGGCACGATGAACGAACGCTTTAACCACTAGGCTTCCCGACCGCCCCTTTAAACTTAGAGGTTTAGAACATATTCTTAATAAATGGAAACATACAAATTTGAAATCTTATTCCATCACATCTGGTCTAAAGTCATCGAAGCAATGTTCAAATCCCCTGAATTGAAAACACAGTAGATGTAACATAACTTAACATAATACTATTCTTCCTGTCATGTCGTGACAGATTAACTATATCATATGAACCAATTGGGTGTTCCTTAACTTGTTTGAGTAGTATATTTGGATAAAACCAGACCATCCATGATTACTGCAGAAGCCCACATACACCATCATCCTAATTCCCCATTCTGCAGCACCGCCACATCTGTGCACTACACAATGAGTCACGGCTTCAGCACAGTGGGATATTGACAAGCTAGCAGCTTACTTATGAAATGCAACACATTTGCTTGTTGCCCGTCAGTCAATACTTGACAAGGTCAAGGTCACTTAGTCAGGTGAGGTGATCTGACATGGACTTGGGGATAATGCATTTGTATTTGGTGGCTACAGTAGTGTACCACTATTTCACAGCTGGTGTGTTCGACCAAACTGATTTCGGGGTGATGTGAATTTCTATCGGTATATTTGGTCAATAAGGGCTTATTTCTATTTGTAAAAAATCAATGAAATTTGCATCTATGTTTCATTACACGCAACACTGATGACAGTAACCATTAGCATAGAGAATGAAGTGTTGTCAGGATTTTGCTTCTGCACCTAAGTCAGTAAGTGCGTCATGCAAAACATCACATTAAATGGCATGGTCTGGTGCCTGTGTCAAGATAGTTCAGGCCACTGAGGGATGTGTTTGGTCTGTGCATGGAACAAGATATCATTCAGTGTTCAGAATTAAGGGGTCCAGTTATACCACACACCCCTACTACAAGGCACCAGCTACCCAACAGAACACTCACTCTTTCAGTTGCTTCTTTTTTCTTTCTCCTCTCCTCTACACCAGCTCTACGTTCATCCTCACGCTGACGAAGCTCAGCAATTTTACGCCTTCTCATCTCAAGTTGTCTCTCTCTGTTTTCTTGGGCAAGACGCTGTTGTTCCTTAAGCTCTTCAAATTTCTTCTGTCTCTCTTCCGCCATCCTCTCTCGGGCCTGACGAACTCGTTCTTCTCGGTCTTTTTCTTTGAGTCTCTTTGCTGCATCTGTAATCATGGTCTGACAGCTTTAGCTAGATAGGTCACTTTCTTAGGTTGAAAACCTTACTGAGTCAATACGTTCCAAAACAGTGAGTGAGTGAGTTTAGTTTTACGCCTTTTTTAGCAATATTCCAGCAATATCACGGCGGGGGACACCAGAAATGGGCTTCACACATTGTACCCATGTCGGGAATGGAACCTGGGTCTTTGGTGTGACAAGCGAACGCTTTAACCACTAGGCTACCCGACCGCCCCTCGTTCCACAACTGAAGCAATTAGATGCCCTACATTTCTTATAGCTAAGTAAGTGAGTTGGGATTAACGCCGCATTGATTTGGTTGGTTGGTTTGTTGTTTAATGTCACACTCAGCAATATTCCAGCTATACGACGGCGGTCTGTAAATAATCGAGTATGGACCAGACAATCCAGTGATTAATATCATGAGCATCGATCCACGCAACTGACATGCATCAACCAAGTCATTGAGCCTGACCACCCGATCCCGTTAGTTGCCTCTTACGACAAGCACAGTTGCCTTTTGCAGCAAGCATGGGTTGCTGAAGACCTATTCTACCCCGGATCTTCACAGGTCACACCGCATTGAACAGTATTCAAATTATACCAGCATGTCAGGATGATGTGGGAAAAACGCCTGATGTGATTCAGATCTCAGACATTACCACCTTGGTGAAACCAACATGCATGGGCATGGTACTGTCAAAAATAGAAACATAATTTGGGTGACCTGGGATTTGAACCCACAACCATAGGTTTCTGACGTGTCAAGGGCGCAACTCTGTACAGCGAATTGTGGCACCATAGACAACTGGGCCATCCATGGGCCCTTTGGCTGAGTGGCACTAGGAGGACAATAATGATGTTATCATGAAGGGAAATGAAGCATAATATGTGAGAAACATCAAACAATAGTTATCATTGTTAATAATTATAAGAATTCTACCTCTATTACGTCATTGCAATATTCCTATATTTTGGCTGCAATCACCCACTATAAATTTCAGATTTTTAACAGAAGTCCTCTTCACTGTCAACTAGGGCTGGGACGATTCACCGATACATCGATGTATCACGATACATTACAGTTCGATACGACCATCGATTCGTGGGTCTATGTATCGATACAAAACGATACACAGCTGATATACTACAAGTAACAAAACGTATTTGCCGCTGTTTACATCGTCCGTTTTGTTCCAACGCAGTCAGTAAAGAAAATAAAGCGATGATATAAGGGCAAATATGATTGGTTGATTTTCGTAGTACGACCAATCAAATGACTCGTATTAGTTTCAGCCTTCAAACGTGGCGACTGGTTTTCCGGCCAAGAAGCATCGAGTCCCCAGACACCGTAGGCCGGTTTACGGGCCAAGCCGTAGTCACGTCAAAATAGTATATATGTTTATGGACCTACCTGTAATATCATTCATTTATTAAAAATATCACATTTCATAATGTCTGAAATACATATTCCAATTCAATTTATCATTTTTTATCGATAAATTAAAAAAATATTCACTAATTCCCGCGATGTTATTGAAATACGGGTCCACATCGAACATGTCAAAGAGCAAAATAAAGACGTTTTAAACAAATCTTTAAATATATTATACAAAGTAATAAATAATATAAACAAAAATATATCTAAAAGTAATCAAACTTACATCTAAGTTATTATTTCCATCTTTTCGTGCGATCGCGTGTAATGTAAGTCAAATGACATCTCGGCTCGGACACGATGTTTGATGCAAATATATATGCATGAAAAATCATTGTCACAGCTCGTAACCTAGCACGATACGTTTACGAAGTTCCATATTTTTAATATATATCGTGATTTCCTGCTTAAAACGTTTAGAATAGCACGATTTAACAAAAATCTTTCGCGAACTTCGGAAATTTATCAAACACGAGCTATGTATCACAGCTGTAATTTGATTGGCTGCCTTAGGTCACGTGCTCAAAATTGTCCAATCACGAAACTTGTAGCAGATTTCGGCAAGAAAGCGTCATTAGAAACCAATTTTAATCCAATGAAATCGCTTGTTATACCTACGGGGAAAAAACAGTCGATGTTACGAGAATGTAGATGAAGGAATAAGCTTTCCAGCGATGTGTCATATGCCATTCTTCGACGAACGTTTTATTCATAGGAAGCCTCGAAAACGGGGGTATTTCTTCATTTTACTGAGCGCACAGCCGCTGTTATCGGGAAATGGGTGATGACAGAAACTATTCATAATTCTTTTTTAAAAATGATTTTCCAATTACGTCAACAATGAAAATAAAACAGAAATAGGTAAGTGGATATTATGAAATCTTATATTTGCCGAAAATCGTCAAGTTTTCACTTCCTTGGTCCTTAATCTGGATGTTAACAACGTGTCAGCTTACATTTTTTATTTAAAACGAACTTAATTAAGTTGTAAATGCATTATTTTAAATAATGTGAAAAACACAACTTTCATATTTATAAACCATAGGATCAGACCTTTCAAATGGTGTATAACATGTAGTGGCAAATATATTTTACAAGCAGATATTTTCTTTGATAAATGTTGGCTTCATCTGTCACACAAGAGTCTCTGGTAACTCGGTGTCCCAGCAGTAAACACTTCTGGTTGACTGGTGTTGAAAGAGTTAATGTTCAGACATCAGTCAAACATGTCTGACTTTGTGATTTACTAATAAGTGTGATTTTGATTATTCAAGTTCAGAGTTTCAGACAATTTGCCTTTCATTGATCATTGTGTAGAGGGGAATGTCCGAGTAACTCTCCATTCCTTAAAAATAATGGAGCAGAGGCCCCACAGGGGCCGAGGCCCATTATTTTTAAGGAATGGAGAGTTACGAGGATATTCCCCTACTTAAAACGCATCCCTACATTTACACTTTGACAAACTATTCTGTAGTTGAAAATATTAGAAAAATTCAAATGCTGCTTCAAGATAATGTACAGTTGACAAGCAACTCTCCATTCCTGAAAAATAATGGAGCGTTCAAACAATAGAATGACGTCACAGATGTGTTTTAAGAGAAAATCACAAACCAGTGGTTGTTTTTACCAAATAGTTCTGCTGTTCAGATGACATTTAGAATGCATTTTTATTGCAGAAAATCCAGGTATTTAGTCAGGCTCCTTAACTCAGGTGTTTTGAGTCTTGCTATTGAGTGACATGTGCTGTGTTTGACACATGTTCTGAAGGAAAATTTGAGTTTTATTTGATGAGAACTATTTTACATTAAACTTTCATCATCTTCCACCAGCTTGTGACATTATTTTTTGTATCGTATCGTACGTATCGTATCGTATCGTATCGTGACCTTTTGTATCGTCCCAGCCCTACTGTCAACTACACATGGTTAGTTGATCACCTAATAGCATTGACAGCTTTCCAAACGTCAATCTACAAGAGACATGATTGGGGAGGTTGAAGGGAGTAACCCCGATGTAATACAGGTAGTATTCTAAGAATTATTTACTATGATAACTATTTTTTTATGTCCATGTCCCATACCGTCCCTCCTCCATATTCTAACCCCTCCCCCTCCATGTTCCACCCCCTAATCCATATCCCACCCCCTATTCCATGTTCCAACCCGTTCCTCCATGTCCCACCAGCTCCCCCTCCATATCCCACCCCTATTCCACATCCCACCCCCTGCTCCATGTCCACCCCCTTCATGTCCACCCACTCCTCCATGCCCCACCCCTCCCACTCCATGTCACACCCCCTTCCTCCATATCCCACCCCCTTTTTCCATGTCCCACCCATCCCATCCATGTCCTACCCCCTCCCCATCCATGTCCATCGCGTCTTCATGTGCCACCCAACCCCTCCATGCCCCACCCCCTCCTCCATGTCCCAACCCCTTGCCTTTTTCCTTATGTAGTGGGCTTCTCGAGCTGGCAGCTGATGTGGGTCTACTGGAGTTGGTTGAGTCGGCCTTGCTACTCCCCGACACCCCAGAAAGGCCTGTGTCCACTGACTGTGTGTCCGCCCCAGCCCGGTCCCCGTCCTGGGGACTGCGTTTGAAGTCCCGGTCCTGGGGACTGCGTTTGAAGTCCCCAGCAGGCCCCACGGCATGTGTTTCACTTGAGGGTGTGCCTATAGTTTTCATGTCACCCCCGACATGTGTTTCACTTGAGGGTGTGCCTACAGTTTTCATGTCACCCATGTCTGTGCTGCTTTTAGTTGGACTCTGACTCTGAGCATCTGGTTCATAGCTCAGGAAAGATCCGTCGTCAACTGCTGACACATTTTCTTTCTGTTCTTGTGACAGGTCGTCACTTGTTGAAGAGGCATCCAGGGCGGCATTTAGCAATTCTGGAATGAAAAGCACAGGATGAGTGCACATGAAAGTTAACGTTGCGTCCAAGATTATTGCACTTACATATCGACGTGCATGCATGTGTCTGGCTGCTTGTACTAGTCCGGACTGATGCCGTTTTATAGTGCTAGCACATTGAGATACCATGCCGCAGTTTAACACGAATACCCCACTCAGACACAGTATACTGACTCCGAGCCGACCAGTCCTTGTTTTAGCCCCTTAATGCCGAGCACCAGGCAGGATAACAACAAGTACCATCTTTAAACGTCTTTTGGTATGACGCGGCCAGGGATCAAACCCTGGACCTTCCGCTCTCCAGGTGGACGCTCTACCAAAGATCACGGAGGCGGTCAGGTTGAACCTAATCCATCCAGGGTTTCACACATGCGTACACGCAATCATATGATAAAACACATTGATTCAAGAAATGGAAGTCAATGAGAAAGCATTCCTATTATGGAAAAAATATTTCGGTAAGTCCACTTGGACAGTTTCTTTGTCTCGAACTGGTCGAGTGGACATAAAACAGAAAATAACAAAAATAAATACCTCACAATTAAGTGTGTACATTTAAACCCCCCGAACGTTGACTAAGCATTAAAGACACCACTGAGTACACTTTCCGTCTTTGACTTCAGCCATAAGTCAGATGCCTGAGTGGGCCAACATTCTGCCAAATTAACTGAAAGTGATGCTGACAGACAAATTCGGGTTGGAAGACTCTGAAGCTTTTGCCACAGCCTGCTGCACCTTCATCTTAATTAATAAATGTTCTCAAGAGGTGAGACGAAAAGAGGCTTCATGCTATGTTCAAGATTATTGCACTTACATAGCAATGTGTGTGTGTGTGTGTGTACTAGTCCAGACTCTTGCCAGTTTTGTACCGCTAGCCCACTGAGATACCATGCCACAGCTTAAGGTGGATACCCAGCTCAGACACATAATACTGACTCCACTCTGACAAGTCCTTGTTTTATCCACATTGGCCAACAACAAGTACCATCTCTTAACGTCTTTTAGTATGACGAGACAGGGGATCTAACCACCGAGATTCCACACTCACGGCAGATGCTCTATCCAGCTTTAAAAAAGACCTCATGAACTCAAAGAAACATCTGCAACAGTTCTGGCAATAACATCCAATCAGACCACAAAATAAAGGGGAAAAAGCCAATCACGCCTATATTGGCCTGTATTTACATTTGATTGCCCTAGCAAATGTGATTATCATCAAACATCTCAACATGCTGAATACAAATCATCTTCACTTAGATCTGGAACCATGACCACCATTTTGTTGCTAGTGACAACATAAGAAGCCACGCAACCATTGCCACTGTACATGACAGCACTAACTGACTGAGTTTATCTCGGTGTGAACACAAATCCCAGGAGACAACTGTTCACGTTCACCCCGTCAACAACACAGTTACATAAATACAGATAAGCAATAGCATTGATTTTCAGAGCCTTGACACCATGTTCTCAGCAAGAAATCAATATTCGTACAATAAGATCAATACCTTTTACTAAGCCATATTATCAGATTATTCACCTCATCATGATGATACATGGCAGTCGTCAGTAGTCATCTTTGTACTCTAATTGTGTTGATATGTGAAGTATGCCATGTCTTTGCTGCGTTATGCTCTATTAACTATCATGGCCAGTACAATGAACCCTTCATAAACTTATATCATTTTTACTATGCTAACACCAGTCTGTAAATAGGCAAAAGTCCAAAGCCTGGATAACACAAGGGAAGAGACCATAGGTAATGTCTATCAGGTCATTTTGCACTCGTAGCCAGATTTGGGGAGAAAACAACTACCGTATTCCTTCCAAATCTTAACTAGTCTAGTAATAACATGTCTATCCCTTACAAAGGTCTAGTAAGCTGGGTCCCGTTCCACAAAGCGATCATAGCGCTAAGACCATCGTAACTCACATACTTAAACATAGACTTACAGCAATCTTGGGGCTATGGTCGCTTTGGGGAACGAGGCCCTGGACTACGATCTAGTAAAAAGGGTATGTTCTGTCTAGTTGCATAAGTTTTGGGCACAAACTGTTAGTAGTGTTACATCATCATAACTATGCACCAGATCTTACATGCTGAAATGGGTGCAGCTTATGTGAATACTTATGGCTCAATTACATAACAGGACACATTATTGGCCAGGTGTCAGAAATGGAGACCTGTTTGTTTGACTGAGCTCAATAGCCTGATCTAGTCTCAAGCACTGTACATTCTTGAAACATGAGTGAGTGAGTAAGAAGGGTTTGATGCAGCTTTGCACAGTATTCAATTAATATCACGGCATGTCAGCTTCATGGGGAGAACAGCCCAGCCCGAAGTGATGCAGGTCTTAGACGTTTACCACTTTGGTGAAACCCACGAGCACTGCTATATAGGTTTCTGCCATGCCCAAGGGACGCAACTCTTGTGGTGCCTTAGACAAATGGGCTCCCCTTGAAAAATGAAACATGCTAAGTTTTTTTTGGCCTAATACAAAATATTGTATAGCACAATAATCTACGTACAATAATAAATTTTCGATATGCATATACTTGCAAGCTGTATACTGTCCCAAGATATCAAATTGGAAAAACCTTTGGAAGAATGTAAGCATCTTCTTTCACTACAGACTCAAATGCGTAAATCTCAACATATATCTGTTCAGACTTAATCAACTATTTCTCAGAACAAGTTGAGCAGAAAACCGATCCCCGATAAACCCAAGGGAACAAACAGGGAGCCAATCACTCATGCAATTGCTGTCATTTTAACCATTTCCTACACGATCTGCTGTCTGCATGACTGAAAATGCACACGATTCAGTTCAACTACAAGCATGAGCTACAAGTACACATGACAATACATGCCAACAGCTGTGACACACAATCAATATCGGTACAATATATTCTAATACAGATACGCTGCTGACAGACCTATCACAATCGCTGTGCCAAATAGGCAGTTGGACAAAACGGCCCCTATGTTACCTACACAATGACTCACCTTGACATGTTTAGGGAACAGCAGACACTATGTTCAATACACATCTCACACTGAAAGGTTTAGTACTTACTGCATCTCAGAAGAATTGATTTCTGTATTCACTCTGAATCACCAAAATGACTTTGAAATGACCTCCAGTGATGCAAGGAGCTAGTTTGATTTTCACAAATGTATAGAATGGACGCAGATAAAATGATGTTATGGACACACAATGCCATTTAGAAAATGGTCAAATGTGAAATTATGTTGTACAAGTTCTTGGCAAGAAATATATGTCCTGTAAATATATAGCTGTCAAATCTTACAGTACAGGGCACTACACATTTCAATAATTTACAGGACCCTCATATTTCCTGTAGGACACTTTACATTAATTATTGGAGGTCCTCTGGAACACCAGTTTTGTAAGTCAAGGCAACCTGTTGAACTATTTACTTTTGTGACGAAAAAAAAACTGTCCACTGTTTCACTTTTCATGACATCTTTTCTGTAACAGATGTAGCAAGAATTGATATCCAACAAGTTATGCACCTCATCAAAAGCACAAATCCTGATGAACTGCACATTAAATCTACCTGCCTAGGCTCACATCCCCAAAATCCTCCCTCTGAATCTGTACCGCTGACATAAATATCCTCGACAAACAGATCAAAGCCAACCCTACAAATCATGTTTCACATCCTCAAGTCATATTTTCCAAACTATGCCGCTATCAAACAACACACCTTACACAACAGAGATTTGCAAATCCTTGCAAAGTGCCGCACGACAAACACCAAACTGCTAACCTCCGTTCTGGCATCGCTGTTAGAAAGGCATCAAATCACACGATGCACAGGTCACATTGAGAAGACCGATCATCACAAGACATCCCTGGGACATCCTGGTGAGTGCAGCGCTAATAACCTGACAAATGATGTCGGTATCAGAGCATGCAGGTTATTAAGGTTTTGCGGACAATTGACCCAACTTCTCTTTCCTGCAACAATGAAATGATTTCTTTTTGTTTATCCAGCCCTGAATCAATACCACCACACTGACTGACCTGTAGGGAGGGACATGGCACTCATAAGCTCTGCATTTTCCTTCAATATTAAGACCTGAGGCATTAGCTCACTGAGGCCAAGATAGGATATTTCTGGTTTTGAAATACGACCTTCGCGCTTTTATTCGAGAACTGATTTACAAGTCGGTTTGCCGTGTCCTTGGTATTCTGTAAATACACCCACATACATCACAATTTTCAGGTATGAAATGAAACATGATCATTTGCTTAAGATTGAGCATGTTGAGTTGGAAAGATATTATGGTGTTTTTGTTTTTTGGGAGGGTTGGAGGGAAGGGAGACAGGGCTACGAGTCCATACCCTCCAATTTGAAAATAACAAGGAATTGTTTTAATATTCAGTCATATGCACTGAATATTAAAAATGTTGCTTTCCTCTCTTTCAGTTTTTCAAGATCTCTCCTTCCACTCTGTATTGAACACGCTGGACATGGTGGAGGCACATTCTGCTTTGCATTCTACACGTACTATTCCCTACACATCTATCCGTTAAGTAAGCATGAGGCGAAATGTGAAGAAACTGTTCACAGTATCATGTTCACTACAACATCCTTTACCCTTACAGATCAGGTGATACTCACCGATCAATACTCTTAAACATGCAGAATCAGGGCCCCCTTGCCCTGAACCCATGCCCAAACACTGGACACACAAAACCTCTCTTTATCAAACCACCGCTTGAAAGATCTGAACATGAGATTAAAATTTCATGAGCCATGTCAGTAGCAGAAAAATACAACATTGAAACCAAAATAACAACAAGTAGTTCTCAGCCAAGCACTACCGTCAACAGTTTTTCTACAATCAATATCTCCCGCATGCAGATGGTTGTAAACATAGGTTCCAAATAATTACAAAAATCCATGAAGCGAAAAGAATAACGATGTGTCAAATGGTCTGGACATT